ATCTTTTTCAATTAGTGCACTGAGGGTGCTCTTAAGTTTGCATCTGAGATGAGAACTGCATGATCTTGCCTTAGTCTCACTTTTGTAAGTGACTCTGCCCTGTGTGAACACAGAGATGTCTCTGTTCTATCAGAATTGATAACGGCCAAAGGAGGCTCTATATCAGCATACATGTGTGGGCCACCAACACCACAGTGCTACCGATTTCTAATGTAAAACTCAAAAGGAACTGAAAGGGCCTCAGAAGGATTTAATTTTATGAATGAAATATCCTACAGCCAGGAGCCTCATGTTAAACTGATCAATACTAATTGCTGAAGGGAGAGGGAGTTTGGCCTTTTTTTATGGTGAGGATGCAGGCTCGTGGTTGAAGAAAATTTGCTTTAAAAATAATGAAAATAAGTACTTCTCAAGATTTGGACTTTCTGGTTCAATAATGGATATGACACTACCCTTCCCTATTACACATGTACTTTCAATGTAGTACAGAGTGTGCCCAAGGAAAACTACTGTCAGGAAGGTCAGAAGGCATTGCTCCTGTGTAACAGAGGTGGGATTCTGATCAAGTTTCTCTACTGAGCTTTTTACTAGACCTGTATATCAGCAAATGCTCACATGTGAAAATGCATTTTACACCATCTTCCTGTACCTGCACTTCCGAGGAGGTGACCAGGCCCCTCCTTTCTCATACAAGCACAAATAGATTTTTTTTTTTTGCTCCTGTTTCATCTTCCTCTCTGTCCCTCTGTTGTTTATTAAAATGCACGGTACAGCAAGAAAAGGAAAAGATTATCCTGCTTCCTGCCATGTGAGGTGGTTTGCAGAAGGCCAAGGTTAAATGCAGCGTTTGGTTCCTTAAGCTTCTCTAATGCACAGGTGTGGCAAAACAATCTGGGATGAGAGCACAGAGCTTCTACTCTCTGAGGACACAAACTTGAGCTTAATTTGTGCTCTCCGGCTAAGCTAAAACCTTCTTCTGCTATCATTATCCCACTTACGTTTGTCTTCCACTCTCTTTCCACTTTGCCATCCAGCTGAGTGGGAAGAAATTCACCTGACCTTGAAGAATACTCAGAAGATCAGAGAATAAGGTTTTCAGCAGCCACTAAACTCCCGGACTCCTACCAACATTTGGATCATCTGTGCATAGGCCTGAAAAGATTCTTAGAAACAGCAAATGAGGAAAACAACATCCAGAGAGTTACACTAACCTGTCAAGAGCCACAAGGGAGCTGAGATGAGATGAGAAAGAAGCCATCAACCTTCCAGGACACCACAATGGCCTCCAGCCAGGCCCAGTTAGACCCTGAAGGCTCATTAGGATGTCAGCAAAATGCCTGTGATGTCTCCAGTGCATGTAAAACTCTGAAGGACATCCCCAGGAAAAGCAGTCTCCAAGTACTGAAAGGGAAGAGCCTCACCGTTCTCATGCTCACAGGATCTCTACTAGATTTGACTAATATCGAATTAAAATGTTGAGTTTGTCTTTTTCCTACCAGGAATAAGTCCATTAAGTCCTCTCTATCTAAAAGGCTACTTCTGTCTATTGTTTCAGATCCTTGTCTATTCTGGTGCAGATGAGGTACAGCAAAATGAGGGTGCATGCACTGAAAACCATCCCGGAATCCAAGGACAAACTTCAGCTCCCAGATGCACTTTTCTGTTCCATGAACTCTACATAAATTCATTTTTCATTTTGCCTACATCTGCCTGTGTGCCCTGACCACCTACGTGGCTCTGGAGGACCTGTGTGACTCCCTTTCCTGTTTAGAACGTCTCTCCTCAGCCTCCTGCGACTGAAGAAAGTTGTGAGTGGGCAGACTTTGAGTCTCAGTGGAGAAACACAGCCCGGCAGGTTGAGCTTCTGCTATCCACTCCAGCCCCACCCTTCCCTGACCACAAATGGTCAAAATTAATGAAAAAAGTTCCTCTCTTATCCAAGCTTTTCTGGAGGGGTAACACTTTAGAGTCTTGACTGACTTGAAACAACAATCTGGTTTTGTAAATGCAATCCATTTCATGGAATTGAGTGAAAAAGTGAAATCAAATTATACTGCAATTTTACAGAAACCCCTGACAGGAGCTATTTGGAGACTTTTTGTCTAGGTGTTGCTACCTGCCAGCATTACTCATTTTTTTCTCCATCTTGAAAAATGACCTCATCCAAATATATCTTCACAACCTGCTTTCATTTAGGACTTTTTTTCTGAAGACATCATAGTATACAGCTTTGGAAATAATTGTTATCCCTCAAAATGTTTTTGAGCCAAATATAAAATAAAAGTGCCTTCTGATGCACTGGCTTTCCCTAATAATTTATGTTGCACAGTTCTAAAATGCTTTTGCTCACATGGATTTTGAACAATGTAGAAAGGTAAAGCCTACATGAAAATGAAGAATCATATAAATGTAAGTTCTCACATACAAATTTAGTTGATCTTTATTCTCTGAATAATTTCAGAAAAAATACTTTATTCTAGTTCATAAAGATTGTTACCGCTGAGAGTTAAATGTCTGTGCACTGCCTTTAAAATGTTGTGTTTTTTTTTTTTTTTTTTTTAAAGTTCAAACCTTCCATGTTCCACAAACTCAAAAGCCCTGCAGCGAGTGTTGGGAAAAAAGTTTAGACCATGAAATTCTTCCTTTCTTTTACACATGCCTGAAGTAAGAGAAGAGTGCCTTTACTCTTATTGACATAGACTTATTTGAGTTTAATTCTATATCTATGCAGAAATGTTTTTAAAACTTTCAACAAGGCAATCCTTTGGTGGTCACTCATTCAGGTCCACAGGTGCTGGTGTAATAGCTACTCTGTACTTAAGTATCATATATATATTGATGAGTTTAGAAGCAAAAATCCCAGCAAGAAAAGTTAGAATATTTTATCAGGACTATAAAGAAACAGAACGTGGTTTTGAGCATCTCTTTGCTGAAAAATGAAACAAAACTAAACAGCCCGGGATTCCCGTGGCAGTTGAGAGAAGGGCTAGACCTTCTCAGGTATTGTCAGTGTTCTGTGAAGACTGGTGTCTACACAGCTCCAAGCTGGCTTTTACTAAATGGGAAACAACTCTGGGTTATAATCAACAACTTGGGTGGATGCAAATCATGCCATCTCTCAAGGCAGGATGATTTTTCTTTGGCAAGTTAACCTATTTTGTTTTGGTGTCTCGGTGGGAGCAGGGTAGAAATGTTTAATCACATGTTGTCATGGCTTGGATCTGAACTATCTCCCACAGATTCCTGTTTGAAGCTTGCTCCCCATTGGTGGGGCTGTCTGGGGAGGCTGTAGAACCTCTAGATGGGTTGTGGCTCCTGCTTTGGTCTCTGTTTCTTCGTTTACAATTGTGAACAAGCTCTGCCACACACTGTTGCTACAGACTGAGCTGCTTCCCAGGCCCTCTCTGCTATGATGGACTTCACCTCTCCAAAACTGTAAGTCAAATTAAAACAAGTTGTTTCTGTCAGGTAGTGTGCTTACAGAGTGTAAAAGTCACCGACTCACTTGGTGTATAGGTCCGTCTACTTGAATTGTTCTTAAAAAGCATTATACTCTCTCTCTGGGATGACAGAGATACATTACAGCTGTTCACAACACTGGGGCTGCTTGAACAGAGCATTTGTGCATTTGATTATGTCTACTCTCCCATCAGATGCCAGGGGTCCAAGGAAGACACTTTCAGCTTGTGTTCATTTCAGCATCATGTCAAAATCGTTAGGTTGTCTTGCCCTTGTAAGATTTGTGAAAAAATACATCTCAGCTCTGACTTGGGAATGTGCTCACGGGGGAACCTGTAACCACTTGTCCAGGAAATCACAATTATTCCTCAATCAACTGTTTGTATTTCCAGGTAAACTTTGGGCCACTCCAAGAAAGCAAGTTCCAAGAAACAAAGCAATGGGACACCAAGTAAAGTCAGTTCTAAATTGTTAAATTATGAATCTCCTTGCCTTTAATCTTTGTGCTTATCTGTTTGATATTGTTTGTCTTCCTGTTTCACAGCCATGCATGCCATGACTGGTGTCATCCTTGGGCTGGGGAGGCTGGATCAAGGCTTACCTCTAAGGAAGGTGGGTGGGCTAACTGGCATTGAAATGAATGCACAAACTGTTCACTTGGTTGTCATCATACCTAGAAAGACCCTGAGTCATTTAGAATCTCATGGAGAAAAGTGTCTAATGTAAGTTGAAAATAGGTAGCTTATACATCCTGCACGGGCATCCCAGTCATTCTCTTTGGAAGCTAATCTGTTCTGAAGTTAAAGTTATATATTCCTGAATGTTCCTCTTCATTTCTCTTCAATGATAGCAGGTTAAAGATAAGCTTTCATGATTAACCTAAAGCATCGATTTTTTATTTCTTCAGTCTCACAGTAATAAAGTAAATATATAGCTGCTTTGTCTTGTATCAAGATGCATATTTGCTGAGGCTCTGGGCATAAATTTAGAGTACTTGTTAGTCTGTGGGGTAATGGTTGGAATCTGGGACATAAGACTGGGGCTAAATTTCTTTGCCCTCCTAACCCCAGAGAGTGTTTAGAAGAATAAAAAGAAAAGAGCAGAAAGTACTGAAGGTAAGACACTGTTGTATTCATAATATAGAGAAATAACCACCAAGCCTCGTGGACAGGAGAGGCAGTTCTCCACGGGGCTACAAAACTGTGCTAGTAATAATTTTAATTGGATGCTATCTTTGCAGCCTTCAAAAAGTATCATAAAATGGAGTTATTACAGGCTACAAGTGCACTTATAGTGCTGTCCTCTCACCGAAAGAAAGACATAACATTTATCCTTCGGAGGGCAGCATCAATGGGCCTCTATTTGTTTCGTTTACATGCATCCCCAGCTGCCTGCCATTTGCTTCCCCTTCCCTAAGTCTAGGAGATCAATTTGAATCGGACGCTGCAGAACGGGATGCTATGTCTTGCTGGCCCTCCGCCTCGGGGGACTGTACAGCACCATGGGAAAGTCCAAACTCCTGAGGAGGATGGAGAGCATACCTGTAGAGGGTTGGGCGGTGTGAGCGGTGATGGAAGGCTGTGTCCTGGAGATGGGCTGGGTTTCTGAGGGGGACTTGAGCTCTGTTGGCTTGGAGATGACTGATTCTGGCTCTGGGGGTGGGAGTGGGGTTGATGCTGTTGAGACTGAGTAGCCTGCTGCAGCTGAGTTGGGGGAGCCGGTGGCTGCTGTGAGGCAGGTGGTGGCTGGTGGGGCGGGGTGGGCTGGGACTGCTGCTGCTGAGACTGGGAGTTCGTCTGGGAGGCTGGCTGTGGGTGCTGGCTGGTTGGTGGAGGAGGCAGTTGTTGCTGTTGTTGTTGTTGTTGCTGCTGCTGCTGCTGCTGCTGCTGGAGCTGGAGCTGCTGGAGCTGTTGCAGTTGGGAGTTCAGGGATGAGGTAGCTGCAGGGAAGACAGGAAGGATGTCGTGAAACAACAGAACAGATAGATGTGTCTTGATGGCTTGTCCTGTGCATAATGACAAAGGTCCCTCTTACAGAATGTTGTCTTCCCTTCCTTGAAGGTTCTTGGCATGGCAGAGGATTGTGGGACTCTGGATGAAACAAAGTATTTTTTTGTGAAAATTTTGCAGTTTCAGACCAGAATGTAACCCAGCAGATATTCTTAAAGCTCTGAGCATTGCTTTAAAAGCACTGCATTAAAGAGGTGCACCAGGGATGGAGACTGTTTTTAAGCACTTTCTCCCTCTTTCCCTTCTTTTCCACCCGCAAAATATACTCATCCTTTCAAGGTTTGATTTAGATTTTCAAAGTTCAACCAGTTTAATTCTTTGGGTAAATGCTTGACTGGAGTTAAGAACAGAACACTAAATTGTTAGTAATCTCCTTCCCACCCATCATCAGTGCCATTAGTGGCATCATTTTCCCTTGCTACTTCAGACCTCTACCAATTTTCTCAGACGTCCTGGTTTCAACGCATTTCTGCTTTAAAGAGAGTACAGACTTCAGAGAATAAAAGAACCACGAATGATTTAATTATTTTTTTGCTTGTTGATCAGACAACGCTCTTAAACTGAAGGGATCGTGGTTGGTGGCTGTGAGTTGGTTAGATACATTAGCATCTCAAAGAGCTGAGAGAATAAATGAACGCTTTTAAGTTTTATTGAGGTGTGTGTGTGTGTGTGTGTGTGTGTGTGTGTGTGTGTGTGTGTAAAGCTATGTGTGCACCAAACCAGCCATATTGCCCCTCAGATGCCCATCAGACACAAGACAATCTCAGACTTCAAATCTATATATGAAATATATGTAAATGAAATGCCATATCATGTACACACCTTCATACAACAGATATACCTAAAAATGCATGCATTTTTAGCCATATTTCGAGAGTACCCGGCAAAGAAGTTAACTAATGGCTACTTTTGTAAAGAATCATTTTATAAGAGACATCAAATGCCACCTAGCTACTGATAGGGTGCCAGACATGATGGAGGATTTAAAAAGATAGAGTCCTTCTAGAAGCTTACAGTGTCTTTGAGGAAATGATATCAATTCATCATAAAAAGAAAACTACTATTTGGAGGTAATTATTACAGAATCCTGGTAGAATTATATGCTAGATTCATAACTGTTCATTGATTGCTGGTATAAACCTGACAGAGCCAGGTCAGAAGAGTTCTGTGGTCTGAGGGGTGAGGGCTGCGCCATCATGGATGTGGGCCTATGCAAAGGAGCCTTGGAAGAAGGAAGCAAAGAAAGAGAGGGACTCTCTAGCTGGAGAAACACCAGAGGCCACATGGCTTGAGTGACCTCTTTGAGGGAAACTTTGAGCCTGACTGCCTAAAACTAAGAGTCAAGGAAGTTCTGAGTCCCCTAAACTTCAGAGACATGGTGGGTGGACGAGGCATCACAATCAACCTTGGCATAAGTTACATTTCAGATAATAATCCAGGTTTACTCACTGAGGGTAATGCAGCTCCACTGGTGAGTTAGCAGTGTTCCCTGGGTCACCAAAAGCCAAGTCTCTGGTCTCAGGTATGACTAGAAGAGCCATGTGGCCAGTTTAACAAAAGTCCTGAGTGGGTCATTGAATCATTCCAGGTCTCTTCAAATAGCCCGAGTCCTGTCTTGTGAGGGCACCGGCTTGTATGTGTCTCTAGAGGCCTCAGTGACTAAACAATGACCTGTCATCATCCTCATTACAGAAACTTTAAGAGGAAGACCTATTTTGTTCTTTTCTCTCACTTGTCTTATCACACGAAATCACGTTTGATTGAAAACCAAAGATCCAAAACCATTTTTGACCTTCAAGATCTCTTACATTCTGGGATTCCTGGAAGAGTGAGGTTTGGCATTTTTATAGTGGTTACAGACAGTGAAACCTAACTGTACCTCGCCTCCTGACTGGTTCAAACCAAGTCTGTCTAGGCTTCTTTCAAATGAGGATCATACAGCAGTGCTTATTTTCATGGCTGCATTCAATACCACATGGTTTCATTTGGATTAGAAAAGCATTTATCTAAATCAGCATTTAGGAGCTGGAAAGACTTCAGAATATTGGCAGATAGGTATTGGCAGACAAGTGCAACAGACCCTACCCTGCTAACGAGACAGGGTCCCCAATGTGTCTTCAACACTTTGTGTCCACGAGCTCACATTACTCAGAAATTTCCTCTAATAGCAGCTTGACTGGAAAGGCACAAAGCTCAGCAAAGCCCCATTGCGTTCTGTAAACTGACGGGCACCTGAAGCCGAGCAGTGATGGAAAATCAGATGTGGTCATATATGTATGCAGTGGGTAAAAGAAAGTAGGAAGGATATGCAACAGTGTGGTCTAAAAAAATGTCAAAACCATCTACCCAATGATTTAAAATACAAAAACACAGTGTCTCACATTATGAAGCATAATGAAATAATGGCATAGAAAATAAAAAATAAGTAAACTGAGAAAGTTCAAGGACATAGCTGAACTATAAAATGATGTTTGCAAATAAAATGATGTGTTGGGGAATAAAGCTCACCCCAAACATGTAATAACCAAGATTTTACTTTCTTCTGGTATTTATTTCCTATATCTATTTACAGTACACTGGACAGGGCCAATATTAAATATGAAATTTAGGCTATGAAAGAGGCATGTACAAAAATACACCTTGAAAAACTTAATACTTAGTATTTTGAAAAGAAGAATGAAAATAAAACTCTCTCAAACTCACAACTTCCTAGAGAGAATAGAGGGCTATGTTTGTAAAAGGGCTTGAAACTTTCCAAATAAATAATTTAAGATGACCAAGAAGTAGCCAAGAATCCTGCATTTTGCCATTTGTTCAGTTTCTATATTTCAACTATATATTAAAAACAATTTCTCATTTTGAATGTTTAAGGTTTCCACAGTGAATCCTGCAGTTAAATAGGACCACACAACTTGGATGGTCAGCAGCATTGCATAGGATGAGATTTATGTGAGATCAGTTCCAATGCCCAGTGTGGAAAGTGAAAGAGTAGACAGTTGTCCTTCATGTCCTTGGAGATTGGTTTTGATTCCAGGACTTCTGGGGATCCCCAAATTAACAGGTGCTCACATCTGCTATTTACAGTGACCATCTATAACCTATGTAAGTTCTCCCACATACTTTGAAAAGCCTCTGTATTGCTTATAATAGCATTATATAAATGCTACATAGCTAATTGTTATGCTATTTTGCCTAGAGAATCAAAACAATGGAGAAGTCTATGCACATTTATTACCGATGGAGTTAAAAGCACTCTTGATTCACAGTTTATTGAATCTTCAGCTTCAGGACTCAGGCTATTATACCTGCACTTTAAAGAGTCCATGCAATCCTGGAGAAATGAAAATACCACCTTCATTTAATGTGGTACTACTGTCTTGCCTTAAACCAAGCCCTCCTCAACTGACCCCTTTTAGTTTGTTTGAATCCCAAGGTCCTCTGAGGGATAGACATACAATTAAAGAGTCAGAACTAGGATCTGCATATCAGAGAAAACACACTGTATTTCTCTTTCTGAGTGGGTTTACTTAGTTCAATATATTTATATTTCCAGTTCTATTCATTTTCCTGCAAATTTCAAACTTCCATTTTTCTTTATAGATGAATAAAGCTCCATTGTGTATTTGTATGTTTTCTTTGTCTGCTTGTCAGTTGATGGAAATCTGAGCTGATTCCATTCTCTAGCTGTTGTGAATAGGGCTGCAATGAACATGGAAGTAGAAATGTCTGTGTAGAAGTGTAGGGCCCAGACTCCTTAGGGTGGAAGCCCAGGAGTGGTGTGCCCTAAGACATATAGTTCTTCTACTTTTAGCTTGTAAAGGAACCTCCAACCAATTCCAGAAGTGACTTCACTCATTCACACTTCTACTATCAGTGTATAAGGGTCCCTCCTTCCCCACATCCATGCCAGATTCATTGTAATTTATTTTATTATTTATTTTTATGATAGCCACCCTAACTAAGGTGATATAGTGGTTTTAATCTGCATTTCCAGACTACTGACTACTAGAATTCAAGAAAGTAATTTCTGCAAAGGTGTGTTGGTTACATTTTGTCTTCTTGACACAGACTAAAGTCACCAGGAAACCTCAACTGAAGAATTGCCTATATCAGACTGGCCTATGAGAGCATTTTCTTGCCTAATAATTACTGCAGAAGGGCCCAGATCACTGCAGGAAGTTTTGGGTGGTGTAAGAAAGCAAGCTGGTAAGTCATGGAGAACAAGCAAATAAACAGCATTCTTCCATGCCTCCTACCTTGGCTTTCCTGGATGATGGACTGTGATCTGTAAGTGTAAACTAAAATAAACCCTTTTCTTCCCAAGTTGCTTTTGGTCATGGTGTTTATCACAGCTACAGAAATGAAATGAATACAAACAGTAAACCGAAGCATAAGAAATCATCAAATAAATGAAAGAAAGATCTAAACCACAGTGAATGGTATCTCCACCGGTGCAAAAAAAATCTAATTGAGGCAAATTAAAAAGTGAAAGGCAGGTTTGTCTGGGGATTAGTAGCTCCCAGGCAAGGACCATGAAGTTGGCTGGACTGGGGTAGGTAGGGGCTTTTCATAGTAGAGGGGTGGGAGACAGTGCCATGCTTGATAAGATATTGGAGTATTGCCTGGGTTAGGGGTCCAGCAGGTGTGTCCTGAGTCCAGTGGTTACTTTGGAATCTGGAACTAAGTGTCCGCTTTTCCCAGTGTTTTGCGTGTGCTTTTATAAGCACCAGCATTTGATGGGAATCTTTGTCTGGTTCAGACTTCTGCAAGCACTGGATTCTGGCTGAAGTGGGGGTGAGGAAGGGTGTCTTTTATCCTGAAATCTCCAGCCTAACACATAGAAGGTAGCATTTGGAGAGGTACCATAGTGTAGGCTGAATTGTCACATAATCAGTAGTTGTCTTTGATAAAACATCAAGTTCCTTGATTA